TTCAGCTATGTTGTCCTAGATTGTTCACTTCTCCTGTCTTCTCCAAAGTCTTCACCCTTTTCTGAATAACCCTGTAAATGATTTAAGCAAACTCAGCTTTTTAAAAAGTGAACATCCATTTTTACTAAGTGTACGCTCATTACTCCTTTAGTAAATCAACGTCAAAGACTTGCATTGTGTGATGGTGAAGTAAAGCACAACCAAAGTGAAAGCATATTCAATGAGAAAATGTCTGCTCCACAAAAATATTTTTATTATAAATGGTACATGAAAACAACATTTTAACACATTAAAGGAGAAGTAAGGGATGAGTGATATACAGTCAGCCTTTTAGTTATAGCCGATGTACGACATTGCAGCGGTCATACGTTGGCTCTACTGATCAAGAACTGAGCGATAACACAGTTGATCGCTACGTTCCCGATCCTCTCCCTGCAGAGAGTGGTAACTGTCAGTCACCGCTCCCCGCAGGGATATTCCCCTTCACTCGCCGTTCCTCCAGCGCTGACTAAAGGGAGAAACAGGGGAGGGGACAGGCACAGCTGGCTCTGCCTCTGGAGAGGCAGAGCCAACTGTCAATCAGGCAGCTAGGTGAATCCTGACAATATTTATCTGTGCTGTCAATATATAGCGGGCAATAGCTTTGGGTCACAAGGGGATTTTAGTAAATGTCCTCCTGTGACCCAAAAGACAACTATGGCCAAAAAAGGTTTGGCCAAAGTTCTCTTTTAACCTAGATTGATAAGATAATCTACATTAAGATGATCTCTTTATCAAAATTATTGAAAAAGACTATACAGACTCTTTCATTTTGATCTTTAACAGTAAAAAAAAATCCCAGTGCAAAAGAACCCCTCATGCCAAAACTTTTAAGAGAACTAATAAAAACAAAGCCCATGGGGGAAAAACGTAGTTAAAGTGTAGTTCTACTTTTGCAGTCAAATATGAGAAAACCACTTAATTATATCCCAAGGGGATTACAAAATATTTCAAATGTTATTTTGTATTCCTGTGAAACGTTGCTTACCATTGTCGTCCTCATTTCTAAAATAGCTCTGGGCTGTTTCTCCACTCATGCAGACCTTGCCTGACTAAGGTGAACAGTCTGTTTTCTCTAGTATGTAAACCTGTGACTTTGTTTTTTTTGCCCAAAATGTATCTTAACCAATATTTGGCTTATTCCTTTATGTTCAGTACAGAGAAACAGAAGAAGGAACTTTATTTAAGGTAGTGTAAATATGTTTTTTATCCCAGTTTGCTGCATTTTTTTAAATGCATGAATTTCACACAGGACACTCACCTATACCTACATTGTTTGCCACCTTAATACCTAATCTTTTTGTCCTGAAATTAGCTGATAATACAATCTACCCTGTAACACTTAAACACTTAACCCCTAAACTAAGTTTAGCAATTAACCAATAAAATTAAGCCTACCCTAACATCTAACCCTTAACATAACCCTTAAAAACAGCCCCCTAACTCTACCAACTAACTTTCTGAAGTTAAAGTAGAAGGAAGGCTAACCTATAAACCAACTTCTAAATGTTGCCTTCCCATTGCCCTGCATACTTTTAATAGTAAAATGCAATGTAAAACCATTTCTTAAACGTTTTTCTATGTGGTCATGTGACTGCAAAGCTCCAGCTCATATATGAAAATTTGGAGGGCCAACAAAAGGGCTGAATTACAAAGCGCAGTGACTTCACCCACCAGCGTCCACTACTCTAAGGTGTCTATTCACAAAGCTGGCGAAGGATCTAGCCGTAGCTTCGGCTGATCCTTCCGCTAGCTTCAGGCCCAGGACCGCTTCGGTTCAGTAGAACCGAAGGGCTGCTTTACGGGCTATTCACTATAGCCGTTACAGCTCCTGAAGTTGGCCGAGCAGCTCAGTCGAGCCGAGGTGAAAGCTGAAACTGGC